AGTCAGCCCCTGATAGAAACCAATAAGCTTCCAGGTACTTCTGTGAATACTTAATTAGGCTGAAGTTAAAAGATGATTGGTTACCATGCACAGCTGCACCAGATTTTGCACTCTCCATTTTAGTAAATCAACCCCATAGTATTTTCAAAGCCAGTTTGTTAAAATAAAAAAAAATACATTCTACATGGTTGCTATGGGCTAAAACACTTTTTACATCTCTCGGTTTCATTAAATAAGCCTGCAAAGGTAACACCAGTATAGCTTTTCGAAATCTGAATAAAAACATCTATTTGTAGCTGTGCATCAAAATCAAACTTTACAAATATATTCTTAAACAGTTTAAAAGACCAGAACAAAGAGCTGCTCATCCCATTTTGGCAGGGTCTTTATTTCAAATCAGGATCTACATGGGGAGACCTTCCCAGTCCCAGCCATGATAGCTAGGGCTCTGAACTCACTATTTCATGGAGAAAGAAAGATTATAAAAACAAGAGAGAGGAGGAGAGGGAGAGCTCTTCGAGAGTGAAGGGTTGGGAGAGCTCATCAAGCAAGGAGGAGAGCTCATCCAGAGAAAAGGAGAGGAGAGCTCATCCAAGGAGAAGGATCGATTATAGTGAGCAAAATGGAGAGATTACCAAGAGTGAGATGGAGAGATTACCAAGAGCGAGATTTTGACTGCCGTTCTTTATACAAATACAAAGCGATTTATACATAAAACCTTATAAAAGCATTCATTAATAGATAAATAATTGTTTCAAATGCTTATCAGAACAGAATATATTTGAGGACATTAGGAGAAAAAGCCAACTACCAGAAATATATTTTATCTGGCTGTTTCTCCTATGAACATCTGTGCTGGTATCCTGTGGGCAGGAATAATTACATAAGTAGCAGATCACTGTGCTACTGCTGTTACTGGGGGAAAAACATGGCGTTCGTCTATAAATTCTTAGCTCAGCCATTTGGTTTTTTTCCCCATGGTACAGTTCAACAGTGGAAATCTTTACAAACCCCACCTGTAGACCAATCATGACAAAATCGTAAAGTATATCTAAACCAATATTCATCTTAATCCCTCAATGTCTTTATAAAAAATTATTATTAAATAGTCCACTACAAAATAAAAGTCCAAAAAAATAAATCAATAAAAATCCACTCAAAAGATCAGGCCAATTCTTCACTCTATATGAAGCTGATAATTTTATTTTATAAAAGGTAATGCACTATATGAATTTTCTTTTTTTTGAGGTGGATTCGGTGGAAGAATTGGCCTGATCTTTTGAGTGGATTTTTATTGATTTATTTTTTTGGACGTTTATTTTGTAGTGGACAATTTAATAATAATTTTTTATAAAGACATTGAGGGATTAAGATGAATATTGGATGATATATTTAGGGATTGAATTCACTAGTTATTTTTTGGATAAATTATATAAAAACACATTTTCACTGATATAATTTTGTACACCTTTAGGGAAGGGTGTTGATTTGTGTTGTGGGGGAGTCACAGTAATTGGAGGTGGTTATTGTATAAATATCTAAACCAAAAAGGATAAAATTGTAATATGTTGCAGCTTTAGATGTGACGGCAGCACTAGTTTTCTTTTGTCAGGCTTAGAACATTTTCTATGAGTACAGAAACACATTGGTTAATCCTGAAAGAAATCCAGCATCCCAGTAACTTCCTGTGTACTGAACTGCATTATCAAACAATGTTATCAGCCTTGGCAGCCATCTACTGTGAACTACAAAATCTACTCCACCCTATGTAATGGATAAGAGAAGAGGAAGAGAGGTTTGTAACCCAAATTAGGAGAGAAGCCTACTTAAAAAAAAAAAAAAAAAATGTGAACCTCAATGGATACAACGCTGGGTGAAGTGTTGTCATTCTAGGACAGGGATTTTGTTACTGGTAGGATTCAAGAGGTGAAAATAAAGGAAAAAGCCTGAAAAAGGAAAACGAATGCAGCCGCCACATCTAAGGACTGGTAAACTGGAATATATTAAATGTTTTGATTGACATACACTTTAAGCTGGCTAATGTAAAATCATGTGTAGTTTTTTCTATTTTAATTTAGATTTACTGGACCATGATAAAATCCATTTATGTAGATTTAAAGAATGTTCATATTCATGAAGATAAAAGTGCGCACACTAATATAAGTGCAATGATACTATAAGATAAAGGACAACAAAATGACAGTTAGTAGTTGTGTTCTATGGCATCACTGAAGAGGAAGTCGGCTGTTTGCCAGAAAACAATGAACCCAATGATACCGCCTTTATTTCAAATGTCTTCTGTTGTGATAAATCAGATACATTTACACATATGAATGCTATTTAACGTCACTTACATAAACCATCATTTAAACAATATAAAATGCCTCTTTAAAAAGCTTTCCAGGATCATTGTTTCAGGGTTACTGGAAAGCACCAGAGCCGACAGTCCTGGCCCTAACAAGACATTGAAAAGAATGAGGAAAGTGCTTTATAGAAGCATTTAGTGGAGCAGCTCTGAACCCTTGGACAGACTTCAAGATGCTCAAAATTTGGGCAAGATGAACCCTGCCCTCAGTGGACTTCTGTCTCAAGGGATTTTTCCAGTTTAACAAAAATGAAGGTTAGTTACATGACATCTGTATCTGTAGGTTATGAAGGACGAATTGCTCCGTATTCAAATCTGCAGCATTTTATTTACAATTGGCTCTGCTCCCACAGCACAGGCTTTGCGGATCCACAACACTGTTTCCTTCTTCTGTGTTTTTAAAGTGGAACTATAGGCAAAACTTATTTTTTCTACATTTTGGATAGAGTAAAGGAAGGGAGTTATGACCCATCAGGTTTTTTTTTGCCTTCTGTGTCTCATTGGGGAGATTTATTGTCACTTCCTGTCCCATAGAGAAAACATGAAGTGAGAGGAAATCCCTGCAAATTAAGGTAATCGGTTGGCGCCCTTGAAGTCACCCGAACTAGTGTCCTAGTGTCCCCTCTATTACCATTATGGGGATAACCCAAGTTTTGTCATTTCTTTTACTTTCACATTCAATAAAAAATGTAAAACATGATAAACAGAGAGGGTAAATCTCCCTAACGGAGGCACAGACAGCAATAAGAACCTGACAGGTGTTCTAATCCCTCTCCACTCTATCCAAAACTAAAAAAAAAAAAAAAAAAAGGGGGGTTGTCTTTACTTAGAAATTAAAGTATAACTAAAAGGTAAAACTTTTTTTGAGTTTTGGATAGAGTGGAGAGGGATTATAACGCTTGTCAATTTTTATTGCCGCCTATGCCCCAGTTAGGGAGATTCACCCTCTGTCCCGTTTACCATGATCATTAAAAGTAAAAGAAAATCCCAAATTTTGTGCTGTCCCCAAAAAATAATAGAGGAGAAATCTTCCAATGGTGACAATAAGGGAGATCCTTGGAGACCCCCAGCTCACCAGAACTAATTTGCAGGGATTTCCTCTCACTTCCTCTTTGGCTATGGGACAGGAAGTGAAGGGAAAGCTCTGCAATGGAACAAAGATGGTGAAGAAAGGGATTAGAGCAATCCCTTATTTTATCCAAAAGGAAAAAAGTTTTGCCTATAATTCTACTTTAAACACAATCCAAAGAGAACAGGTACCAGAGCTGGCTGGTAGACAGGGATGACAGGGTCTGTGGATTTGCACTTATTCCTCATACAGTACTCTACTACTTAAAGTGGTTGAAATGGCTTTTTTTTTTTTTTACTTAAAATGAAAAAGTTATACTTACCCGCTCTGTGCAATGGCTTTGCACAGAGTGGCCCCTTACCTGCTCTGCTGAAAGCCCCCTCTGGAGCTCTCTACTTTGCAGGTGACCCCCCAGCAAACTCCTGAGTTGGGTTGTGTGTGTCATATATATATATATATATATATACATACACACACACACACACACACACACACACACACACACACACACACACACACACACACACACACACACATATATACACACACACACACAGCAGCGTGGTTGCCATGCCCCCTGCTATTTCCTCACATGATTTGATTGACAGCAGCAGGAGCCATAGGCTCTCTCAGTCTTCTGTGAGACCAGGAGGAGGAGAGAGAGACACTGAAGACAGGGACACCGGTGGATCGAGAAAGGACTCAGGTGTTTGGGAAGGGAGGTGGGGGAACAGGTATTGGAAATGTTTTACCTCAAAGCAAAGAATGCATTAAAGGTAAAAAAAAAAAAAAAAAACACTTGAGTTTATAACCTGCCTTTCCCAACTTCTTTCATTACCTATTACTACATACACTGTATGCCCAAATCTATGTGGATGCCCCTTCAAATTACAGAGTTCAGGTGTTTCCAGTAATGGGTTCTGCTAATGCTTTAATAATTTTTGTGTGCTTCCAATTTTGTGGTAACTTCAAGTCAAGCATGACTGTGCTCCTGTGTACAAAGCCACCTCCATAAAGACATGGTTTGATCCGTTTGGTATTGGGGAACAGGAGTGAACTGCACAAAACCTTGGCATCAGCCCTAATGAACATCGTTAGGATGTATTGGAATGCTGTTTGCAAGCCAGTTTTCCCATCCATCATCAGTGACTGACCTCTCAAATGCTCTTTTGGCTGAATTAGCCCCAATTCCTACAGACAAAACTGGAAAAATCTTTTAAAAATTCTTCCTAGAACGAAGGCTTCTCATAAAAGGAGGCCAAGCAACTCCATATTAACGCCCATGGTTTTGGAATGGGGTGCCCAAGAAAGTTCCTATAGTTCTAATACCGGTAATCAGGGTTCCACAAATTTTTGGCAACCTAAGCTACTAGCAAGCAAACATTGCATTGGCCCTGGGAGAGGGGAATGTGCAAATAAGTAGCAAATTAGTCCTTTATAACCTAGAGTTATTCTTCGAATTGTTTGCATTCTGATATTGCAGGATTGTGCAAAGGCCGCAAAGGTCACCTGCACCACAGACTACTGTCTCGATGTTCTTTAGCTGCATCCGCCACTTGGCACGTTTCAAAAGAAGGTCTCTCTACAAAGGGGGCACGTGGACTTGTTGCTGGAGGTAAACCACTTGTACTGAAAGAAAGAAGACAAGAACAAACATAAATGTTTCAGATCATTGAAAACAGAACTTGCTGGACAACAGCAGTAAATCTTCATCTACTACAAACACATTTTAATCATAAGAAGTGAATGCGTTACACTTCACTGACTGCCAAAAGGCCCCAAGAGCTTCACCTGTGGCTCCTTGTAATGACTCACTCTAGACCTACTGATGCAATCGTTGACAATGGGGTCTACTCCTGCAGGGGCCATCTAAAAATGGACTCGGTTGGTATTTACGATTTGACAAGGTAAGAAAAATGTGTTGTGCCAGGATTCTACTAGATATAAACACAGCAGCAATAGGAAATGTGTCACATGGCCACCTTTAAGGAATGATAACCATGTCAGATTTTCCACAGAAATAGATGTTACCCAATACCATCAAGAAAAGCTACAGCTCATATAAGTCATTCACTATTATGCCTGGTGAAATTCTGCACTTAACCTTACAGCTGAACTCTGGGATAAGCAGAATTTGCTAGTTGCCAGTAGTAGGTGGGGTGTGTTGGGTCCCTCCTATATCTCTGCACAGGTTATGTGCAGCACAGTGATGAAGCCACTGCTACTTTCACAAGGTAACATTTGAGTTTGCAAAGGTATTTGGTGCTCACAAAGATTTATATCCATTGTGGCTATCAAGGAATAGATTTCAATGAAAGTTTTTGTGCTCACAATTCAGCTTTAGGGTCGATGATCACTGGGCTTACAAAATGCTGCTTCTATGGAAGTTTTGCATTTTGCCTGTTGAAGCAGCTCAGTGTTATCCTATGTGTCCATGCACATTAGGACATTTACAGCAGAAGCATATTTGAAGCACAGTATTTAAAAGGCAGAAAAAAAAAACCCGTCTGACTTGTGGTTTTGAGAGAAAAGTTTTCTGAAAGAAAAAAAAAAAAAACCCCCCAAAAAACTCTAAACACTCTTAAACACTATATAGGCATTTGTTTCTGCCAAAAGAACGTTTTTTTGTTTTTGTTTTTTTTTGAAGCTCAGTGTGCACGGACCCTTAAAGGAGAAGTGCAGGATTAAAGAAAGACCACAAAAACATATATACTCATCTCCTGTGGCTGTAGCATTAATCTGACACTGCAGCTGTCCCCCTGCCAGCTCTAAGCCCGAGTACTGAGCAATCACATGACTGCTGATTGCTCAGTTCTTGGTCTTTACTGACTGTCAGTCACCCGTTCTCTGCTCCGCCCTCCCAACACTCATTGAAGTGCCGGGCTTTGGAGGGGGCTTGAGGGGCTGGCTCAGGCTCTCAGTGGATCGCCAAGACGCTGAACAAACTACCGGTAAGGCATCTGGGTGGATTCCGACATTGTCAGGATTTCTGCAGAGCTGGGACTGACTCTGTGATGTCAGCCGACAGTGGGCTAAATCTCTCTGTACGTCACAGAGTTGGTGCCGGCTCTGAAACATCAGACGAAAGTGGGATTTAGCCCACTGTCAGCTGAATCTGGGTCAAAGGCGTGCACAACTAAGTGCACTCCGGTGAACCACATGAGAATTATGGCCAAAAAAGCTTTTGGCTATCCATTTTATATAGGCTTTGTAACAGGGTCATGACACACCAGTCTGTCACATCCCAAATCTGATATCAAAGCTATATGATACAAAAAAGCTCCAACTAATGCAGTTATGTATACATTAAAAGTAATTTTAAATGCCCCTTTTGGGGCAGATTCTAAACAGTTCTGTCCCTGGAGCTTCCACACATGTAGTATGCCTAACACCCCCCCCCCCCCCCAGTATCCTCCCCCTCTGCCCCCCACCCTTTTTTTTTTGTTCTCTCTCTTCTCTCTCCCTTTCCCCTCTCTTGCCCTCCATCCCTTTACCCCCCCTTCTGACTCTTCACCATCCCCTTTCCCTTCTTTTTCCTCCTTTCTACTTTCCATGTCTTACCTTACTCTTCTCCTCCTACCCTCATCACTCTTTCCTCTGCCCATAGGCGACATACTCCCACACCCATACACAACCTGCAAAAGTGCTTCATCTGATTCATGAAGACATCTCCTCATACACTGGCAACCACTAATCGTAGCCCCGTTCTACCTCGTGGATAGCATGGAGCTCTCTATACCATCTTTCCATTATAAGATGCCTAGAGTCTCTACTCATATCCTCTGCCCCTCTACCCTGCTTTTATATGACGAAAGGCCTATGGGGGAATAAACAAATGATCCCACCCATCTTGTGGATATCTTAAGCTTTATTATGGTTATTATGTGCCTTCATTTTTGCTGTGATCCTATGTTGTCTTCTCTACTCGAATGCCATTAATAATAGGTGTGACATGAGATCGTTTTCTCTGTTGCTTATCTTAGCATCTCTCAATGTATGTATGGTATTTGCGAATTGTTGTACATTGCGATTTTCATTCGCACATTGTATCTCTGTACTTTTTGTATGATTTGTGTTTTCTTAATAAACTTTGTGGAAAAAAAATAAAAGTAATTTTAAATGCAACTAATGTAAGTGAAAATGACTCTCTGCCTCTTAATTCTTTGCATAAAAAAACTCACATTGGGAATGGGGGGGGAAGCACTAGGAACCCAGCAGGTATGCTTCAAGGGCATATGATCTGACAATAACCATGCTTACAGGAGAAGAAAGCAGAGTGAGCAGAATGATTTCCTTACTGTACTGCTGCTTCAATTACAGGCTAGTAGCAGGGAAGTGACCAAGTTGCACTGCTTAAATGAAGCAGCAGAATTATCAGATTATGATCTTGGATGGACTGTCTGACAGGACTGTGTAAAAGGAATTACAAATCCTTTGAAAGTAAAACGGTTACTATACATGTATATAAACAGATTACTTAGATACTTGCTTAGAGTTCAGTATTAAGATTTGACTCAAGCCAAACAAATGCAAAAAAAAAAAAAAAAGATAAAACAAACTCCAAGGTGTTAGTGTGGCCTTAACAGGCCTCTAGCACTTTGCAAGTGACAGCATGTAGAGACACAGGGTTCAGCCACTGTACCCACCGCAGGAGATCTCACTATACAATAGCTTGACTTGCTAAACACAGTACAAAAGCTAATTTCACATTAGAGAAGATTTCACCTTGCAGATTTTATTAAAATCTCTAGTCTGTCGAATACAATCAATTATTTACATAAGCTTAACCAGCAGCAAATGAGCTTTAAAACAAAACAAGCAATCACTGATCTCTGTAGCTGCAGGCACTGTGGAGCAATTAATCTTCAAATTTCTCAGCTGAAGCACTGAAGTTGTTAAATTTTTGCCTGGAGAACAGCTATAATTCTGTTACTTACAAATAAGTCTTTGGAAGAGTTACTGTATCAAAGCTAATTAAAGAGACACTGTCTCCTTCTTTAAGCAGGGCAAAGTGACAGTATCTTTGCAAATGGATCTCCACTGTCCCATCTCTGGTCCTTCCTTCATTACAGCTGGTCATTACCTTGTGCATTTGGGTATAGAGGAGACCTCCTCCCTTTGTGAAAATTGCTTGGGCTAGCTGCTAATCCCTGAATTTTTCTTTTAGCAGCTAATCCCAAAGCCTGAGGACTGTCACATGACCAAAGGAGTGACATTACTGCTCTCCATGGTTGGCAACAACAGTGATTTCTGTGTCAGCTGCACCCTATAAAGGAATGGTGAGGAAGCAAAGGCAAGGTAAGCATAAGATGGTCAGGAGATCCCTTGAAGAGATACTTTTTCTTTTCTTGTTCAATTTTGTGTTTTTTTCTTTTTATTAAAATAAATAAGTACAAATACAAAAAGGTGTTTCAGGTAAGAACATTGCATACATACAGGCAGCCCCTGGTTTACTAACAAGATAGCTTCTGTAGGTTGAATTTGTATGCAGGCTGGAACAGGCAAATTTTTTCGGAGCAACTCCAGCTAAAAAAATAATATTTAAGTATTTTGGATGGCATAGGGATGGTTAACACCTATGTAATATTTGTCTTACCGTTTGTGCCCCATTGAGAAGATTTCCCCTTACTTTCTGTCCCTGCGACAAATGGATTTTGAAAAATTTGGGTTGTCACGGACACAAGGATTGATGATAAAGCTTCAGTGGACAAACCTTTTTCCCATGAGAATGATAACAGGAGTGAATTTCCCTTCCTAGGGGAACATATCCTTTCACTTCCTGTTGTCTCCCCCCACTTGTAAGTATGAGTTTTATGTAGGTCGGATGTATGTAACTTGGGGACTGCCTGTACAGTGTAGTGCAGATTTCTGATTACTGAAGTATGCAATAACAGGTAATGCAGGGCAGAAGAAAAAGGCCCATCAGCCATGTAAACATCTGTATAAAAAACAATAGATAAAGAAGGTGACGGTCAAAGTCCTTCAGGGGTGATTAAGAGACCCAGGGATCCCAAACGCTGAAATTTTGCCATGGTTCTTTGCGATTTAGCCGTAAGCTTTTCGGTGACTAAGGCCGATTGCCTTTGCTATTGTCTGCTTTGCAGCTGTCATGACATAGGTCATCAAGGCGTGTTGTCGCAAAGTAATCTCTGCCAGACGTAGATTAAGAAGAGCTTCTTGCAGAAGCAATTGGCTTCTCCAATAATTTGTGCCAGATATTGTAAACTGAACTATAAAACATTTGTGCCACTGGGTAGGACCACAAGATATGGAAGTCTGACCCCGTGTTCAGACAGCCCAGAAAACAGCCAGCGAAACCGAACTTTGTAATTGGTCTCAACCATGGATTCACTTATGGAGCAGGACTCGGTAGTAACGCAGATTTTACTCAAACCTGAATCTATTTGCATTCCCAGGTCCCGCACATAAGAGAGCAGATCAGGAGAACATTTTTAAATAAGTAGTGTATAAGAGGGAAATTAGCCTCAGAGAGTGCTGGTCTTTTAGACATTTGGATTAAAAAAGGTAAGGCCTAGTCTGTCTCCCCATGCTTTTATCGTGGATGAGATGTAATGTTTCTCTTGCAAATATCTAAACAGTTTGGATTAATGAAATTGATGGGAGGCTTG